GCCTGCAGGGGCCGCCCAGAGCGCCGCCCGTCCAGCCAGGAGCCGCGGGCGGGCGAGACCCACGCCCCGCGGGCCGCATCTCCCACGCTCAAGCCTGGAACCTCAGCCTTCCCACCCGCGCCCCGGGCTCGGTGCGACTGCCGGGACGCCCCCCACCAGGGTTGGTGCAGAGGGGACCGGGCCGCAGCGCTCCGCTCCGGCCGGAGCTCAGACTGCGCGGGGTGGGGACACGGCCGAGCCGGAGCCCCGAGCTCCGGGCCACCCCGCGGGCGAGCGGCGCGCCCACCCCAGCCCAGCCCAGCCCAGCCCAGCGCCCGCGCAGGCGGTTCGGTTTCGTTTGGTGGCGCCCCGCCCTGGCGCGGTCGGGTATCCCACCTGCCCGCACGGCGCCCCGGGCTCTGCACGCAGTCGCTCTGCTCGCTCCACGGCACAGGAGCAGCGGCGCCCGGATTTAAACCCGCTCAGGCCCCTCCCCGCGGCGGCCCGGCCCCTGTCTGGGGGCGGCGGCCGGGTGGGGCGCCCCGAGGCCGGGTGGGGCGAGCAGGTACTGGGAACCCGCGCGGGGCTGGTCTGACGCCCCACGCGCCCCATTTGGCCGGCCGGCGGTCTGTGAGCGCCCCTAGGCGAGGAGGGGCCCCTGAGGTGGGTAGGGCGGCTGCCGGGGAGCAAGGTTCTCTCCCTCCTACTCCTGCCCCTTCCGACCCTCCCCAGAGTCACCGCGAAGGAATGCGGGGCGGGCGCAGGGAGCAGGGAGGGGGTGCGTCCCGAGCCCGCCCAGACGGCGTTTGAATGGCGTTTGCAAGGGAAATGACGACCCTGCCGGCTCACGGGGTTTCCCGTTCCAAATTGCGACTTTATTGCCGGATTGCAGGGCCGGAGCGCCGGTGCAGGCGCGGGCCGCGCCGACCCGACCCCGCTTCCCCTGAAGTTGGCTGTCTGCAAGGCCTTGCTCACTTCCCCGGGGCCGGTTCCCTCCGCTGCTGCTTAGTTCCAGGTGGACTGAGCCAGGGTGTCCTCAGGGGTTCCCCTCCGTATGCCCCTCTTCGGCTTTGACCTTGGAAGAGCTAGGGTCTCTGAGTCCCCAGCAGACTCCCAGTCCTGCCTGGAAAGGATGGCCAGACCTCACCCCGCCAGTCCATGTCCTCCACCTGGGCTCAGAGGAGGTCCTCATCTCAGCTGCGCACCCTAGCACCCACCTTCCAGGGCATGGGGCTGCTGGAGGCGCTGGGGATGGAAGCCCAGAGCCTCTGGGCACCACCCTGGGGCCCGCCCTCTGGGGGACACAGTCCAGGACAGTAACCTCTCATAGATCTTTTGGCTAGTCCTCCCTTGGCTGCCCAGAGACCCCGGATGGACAGAGACAGAGAAGGTACCCACCACCCTGCCAGGGCAGGGCCCAAGGCTTCTCCTCTTCTGTCCTCCAGTCTCGGCCCTGAGGGCTCAGTCTGCCCCTCTCCCAGCCCCCACCTCTGCCCAGGTCATTCTTGACCAGATACTCATCCAGGGCCACCCAGCCACCTCCAACATGCATCATGAGGGCCCCTCAGGACATTCGCACAGGCACAGGGAGTGGGGGTCCGGGCTTCCAGGGTGGAGGGTGCTGGGGTCAGTTCCCATGGCTCTGCACTCAGCCCTGCCCACCAGGCCCATGCTCACACCTGCTCCCTGGGGCTCCTGGACCCTGGGCTGGCTTCTGGCCACCTGTGCACTTGTCCCCATCCATGTCCCCCACACTGGCCATGCTGTGTGGCTGCAGCTGGCCGCTGGAGAGCCCTGACCCAACAGAGTAGCGGGCTCTGGCGCAGGCCCACCTCCCTGCAGAGTGTGCCAGGCCAACGGCTCCCATACCCAGTCCTGCTCAGTGGACACCAGGACACTGTCCATGACGTCCTGCTGGGAAGCATTGCCGTGCTGGCCATGGCTTGTGGCCCTGAGCTGCTTCTTCCTGTGGCCAAGCCATGGCAGGCAGCATTGCTGCCAGGCCATGACATCTAGGTGTGTGCCAGCCTCTCGCTGTGGGAAGGAGGTGTGAGGCTGGCCGGGCCTGGGTCTCTCTGATGTGCCCAGGGGTGGGCGGTGTGCCCACCTGCTCCTCACCTGAAGGTGTGGGCAGGCTGCAAGCAGCTGGCCCTGCCCCGGGTGCACCTGCTGGTCCTTGTCCCACCGGCTCCTCTTCTTGCAGCTCCAGCTAGCTCCCTGTGGTAGCCTCCAGCTCAGCTCTCTAGGACTACCACCCCACCCCGGTGGGGGGGCAAGCCTGGGCGACTGTCCTACTGTCCAGGTTCCCAGGTTGTCCTTGGTCAGGGCCCCTCAGAGCCAGCGCCTCCCCTGGGTCACTTCCTCCAGTCCACTGCTTCAGCCCAGCAGCTCCCAGAGCCACAGGCAGCTCCTCCAGCCCCCAGGCCTGGGCCTGTACCACCTACACAGCAGGGTGGCCTCAGGGAATTTGGGGAGGTGGGGGGTGTCAGGAGGCCAGCAAGGTGAGCCTCCTATGCCCAGTCCTGCCCACTGCTCTACCTGTCGCCACTGCTTCCTGGACCTCATGTGCTCTGCCCAAGCTGCCCACCAGGCACTCAGAGCCCCTCAGGCGCTGTGCCCAGCCCTGCAGGCCATGCCGCTCACCCCAGAGCACCCCATGGGTCAGAGGGCATGGCCCAAGAGGGGGTCCCAGGGCACCCAAGAGCAGTGTTACCATGATGAGCACAGCCTGGTCCAGGAAGTCACTGTGTAGGCCACAGTTCATGGCCATAGGTCCCCCCCCCGGGTCCCTTGGGGCTCGTCCTGCCTCAGCCTGTGGGGTGATGCAAGTGGCTCCTCCACAAGGCGGCCCATGGTGAGCATCACCGTCTCCCCCAGGACGCCCGGCCTGCAGCAGAGGTGGGCAGGATGCAGGGCCGGGTGAGAATGAGGCAGGCACAGAGCAGAGCTGCAGGCTGACCTTTCCATCAGAGGGCTGGGCGCTGCAGCCCAGCAGCCCAGCGGCTCCAGCAGCAGGCCCTGGTGGCAGATGCCCTCACAGGAGGCCCCTCCTTGCTGGGCCAGTCACTCCATGGCAAAGACACCGACAGGGGCTGTTCTGCACATGGCTCCCATGGGAACCCCTGCCATCAGAGGAGCCTCATAATGTGCCCGCCTCTAAGGGGCCCAGCTACCTCTGTCCCCCGTGGTACCCCCATATCCTGAGCCCTTCCCCTGTGCCTGGCGCTGCTCCCGCCATCAGCAAAGAGGCGTGACACAGGCTGGCCTAGGCAGCACAGCAGGAGGGCTGAGCCGTGGCCTGGCCTCAGGGCATGGTCAGTGGGGAGCACAGTCCCGGCCCTGCTGGCCCTACTACGCTGGATGCTCAGGGTTGGGGTTGGGAAAGGCCAGCGGGACCAGCAGGGGTTACTCCCTGGTATGGGTTAAATTGTGTCACCCCGCTAATTCGTATGTTGAAGTCCTAACCCCTGAGCCCCTCAGGATGTGACCTGTGCCCTTCCTTTGGAATGTCGTTGCAGGTGAAATTAGTCAGGATGAGGTCTACTGAAGTAGGGTGGACCCCAACAAGTGTCCTTGTTAAAAGGGGAGATTAGGACACAGACACACACAGAGGGAGGACAATGTGAAGACACAGAAAGAAGACACTGTCTGGGGCCGCCCCATGGCCAAGTGGTTAAGTCCGTGTGCTCCGCTTCTGCGGCCCAGGGTTTCGCTGGTTTGGATCCTGGGCGCGGACATGGCACCGCTCATCAGGCCACGCTGAGGCAGCATCCCACATGCCACAACTAGAAGGACCTACAACTAGAATATAGAACTGTGTACTGGGGGGCTTCAGGGAAAAGAAGAAGAAGAAAAACAGAGAGATTGGCAACAGATGTTAGCTCAGGTGCCAATCTTAGGAAAAAAAGAAAGAAGCAGACGCTCTCTACAAGCCTGGAGCAAACCCTCCCCTCACAGCCTAGAAAGGAACCAACCCTGCCGACACCTCGACCTGGGGCTTCCAGCCTCCAGGACTGAGAGGCAACTCTCCTCTGTTGTCTAAGCCGCCGGGCTGCGGTGCTCGGCCACGCAGCCTGTGCAAACTAAGTCCCCAAGTCTGAGGACCAGACCTGGCAGAGCACGTGAGAAGGGGATCTGGGACTTCAGAGCAGAGGGAAAACCTCGCAGCTGCCTCCTGCAAGCCCCAGCTTCTCCCATGTTCCAGGAGGAGGAGGCGGAGGAGGGGAAGGCAGAGCCAGGGCAGAGCGCACTCTTGACTCCCAGGCCGGGCCTCAAGGTTACATTAAACTAGGAGAGACACCCAATCTGTACTTTAGAATTATATTTCTTTCTTTTTTTTTTTTTTTAAGATTTCATTTTTCCTTTTTCTCCCCAAAGCCCCCCAGTACACAGTTGTGTATTTTTTTTTTAGTTATGGGTCCTCCTAGTTGTGGCATGTGGGACGCAGCCTCAGCATGGCTTGATCAGTGGTGCCATGTCTGCTCCCAGGATCTGAACCGGTGAAACCCTGGGCCCCTGAAGCGGAGCACACGGACTTAACCACTTGGCCACAGGGCTGGCCCCCTAGAATTAAATTTATTTATGTCTTGCTCCAAATATTTATTTTCTTTCCAGTTACTGCATAAATGGAAGCCATAAATAGAAACGCTGGGGTCTTCATTGGGAGCTCTGCTTGATAGAAAAGATGGCCGCTGGTGTGCCCAGATACCTCGGCCCTCGCTGTCCCCACCGCAGTACTGTTTAGAGGTTGGGCAGTGCTGTCTCCAGAGATAGCGTCCTTGGTTGACTAGACCCACCTCTGGGGCCTGGCAGCCAGGACCTGCCTGTACCTCTGGTCCCGACTCTGCTGGGAGAGCAGAGTGGCCTTGTCATGGAGACTTGAGGTTATTGGAGGGATGGGAGCCAAGTCCAGAAATTGCCACAGAAATCCTCTGGTCAGCCCTGCCTGCCCCAGCTTCCCTTCCTCCTTGCTGCACCCCCTTCACCCCCCAAGAGGGTCGGTCTCCAGAGGTCCCACTTACCAGCAGACAGGGCCCAGCCCCAGAGCTCCCAAGTTGTCCAGCTTCCCTGTGGTCACGCCTCTCCTCCCACAGGACTCTGGGGCAGGCTGTTCCCCATCCCTCCATCTTCCAAGGCACCTTCAGGGCTTGGGCCAAGCTGCCCTTGGGCTGCAGCCCCTCCTTGCTGGCCACCAGCTCCACCAGGCGCTACCAGATCTGCTCAGCTGGCCTGTAGGTGGTCTTCAGCCCAGAATCCTTCTCCTGAGCCTCTGACCAGCGACCCCCCAGAGGGTTCACTGCTGCCTGGAACACAGCTGGGGAGAGAGGACCACCCTGAGAACTCAACCTTGGGCACAAAGCCCTGCCCCCACCCCACCTGGCTTCCTGTGCACCTGGGGCACCCAAGCCCACCTCCGGGGCCTGGCCACGCATCGTCTTTGCGGCAACCCCTGCAGGCCCTGGGGCACCTGGTGGGAGGTATGGTTCCTGAATGGATGCTGTATGTGCCACCACCTGGCCAGGGGTCTCTGCCTGCTGCACCAGCTGCTCCAGCCGCTCTGCTAGCGGCACCAGCTGGGCACTTAGCTCGGGGAGGAGAGCAGCGTCTTCCCAGGCAGCCCTGGCCTGGGGACAGAAAACCCTCTGCTCCCACCCCAGCCATCCCCACTCCATGGCCAGAGAGGATGGGGCAGGTTGGAGACCCCCTCCTTCAGCCCACCAGCCCCTGCCCAGCTCTCCTGGCCCAGCCTGGGGCAGACCAAGGTGGGCGCAAACACTTCTCTTCACTACAGAACCCTTGCTATTCAGAGTCTGCCCCTCTAGTCCCAGCTGGGCCGCAGGGCTTACTGGGGGGAGGGCTCAGGGGACCCTGTTCCCAGGTCATGCAGCAGCTTCTGCCGGGCATAGGCAGCACTGTTCCTGGTCAGCCACCCCTGCTCGTGGAGCTGCTTCAGCTGCCCCCTCACCAGCTGAGCTTTGCCCTCTGCAGCCAGTGCCAGAGGGAAGGAGCTGGGGTCAAGGACGTGGGCACCAGGAGGGACCTTGGACTTGTGGGCTGGGACCTCAGCAGCAGGTTGATGGCCCAAGGCAGAGGTAGGAGGGACTAGAGAGGCTTTTCTGGAGGGTCCCAAACTATGAGCATTAAGGTTGTCTTGGGGGCAGCCCCGTGGCTGAGTGGTTAAGTTCACACACTTCACTTCAGTGGCCTGGGGTTCACCGGTTCGGATCCTGGGTGTGGACCTACACACAGGTCATTAAGCCATGCTGAGGCAGCGTCCCACATAGCAGAAGTAGAACGACCTACGACTAAGATATACAACTACGAACTGGGGCTTTAGGGAGGGGGAAAAAAAAAAGACACCTTGGCTGACTGGTCAGGCTGTGGGGCCACCTGCCTGTCCCATCTACTCCTTATCCTCGGGCAGCTCTGCCAGCCTCTGGGCAGCCTCCAGAGTCGTCTCCAGGCCCTCAGCCCAGGCCACAGCCTCCTTGCACACACCCTGTGAACACATGGCCACTGAGCCCTGCACCAGGCCCTGGCCCCTGTCCTGGGCCCTGGGCTGTACCTACAGACACTGCCCAGCCCCCTCACGGCCCTCAGGACCCAGCTGGTCCTGCCACAGTTTCACCAGGAGCTGCTTGCCCGAGGTCAGCTGTGCCAGGAGAGCACCATGGGCCACCTCAAAGCTCTGGGCTGCTGGAATGAGCTGCTTCTGGAGCCCCCACCTGAGGACCAAGTCAGCGGGCGGCCAGCAGCGCCCTCTTGGAGCCGACACTCTACCCTTCCCACCAATGTCCCTCATGGCCTCACCTGGCCTCTGCCTGCTGCGCCAGCCGGTCCTCACGGGCCTGTGGCTCTGCTAGGCTTCAGGCCTCCTGCAGCCTCAGCTCCACCTGCAGTGCCTGCTCCTCCAGCAGGTGCCAGAGCCACATGGGGCTGGATGGCCAGTGTGGCCGCCCCTGCCCAGCCCTCCCACCACTGCCCCTTCCGGGAGTGCTCTCGGCCCCCAGCCTATAGTCTTTCCACTGCCCGCTAGCTGGGAGAGGGTCTGCAGGCCATACTGTGTGCCAGTGGCTCGGCCTGAGGCTCAGAGGAAGACTCAGGGATCCAAGGTGCCCCTGACACCCTGTACATCCTGCTCCTGCAGCTGGGTGGCGGCCACCATGGCGTCAGGGGCCAGGGGTCCCCTCGAGACCTGCAGCTCCTGCATTCCATCCAGCCAGCTGTGAAGCGTGTCCAGGGGCCCTGGGGGCACCTGCAACAGGGACGTGCTTCAGTCATGCTGGGCTGAGCCCTGACCTCCTCCCCACCCCGGGGCTGCCCTGCCTCACCAGGGCTGGCTGCCCTCCTGGCCAGCCAAGCCCCACCTACACCGCCTCTGTCACTACTGTCTCCATCACCTCAGTCACCTCCGTGGCATGGGGGGCCCGCCAGGCCCAGGAGATCCCTGGTGGGTGTGGGCCCTGGGGAGCTCCTGGTGGGGAGGGGCCCCCTCGGGCTCTCAGGCGAGACCCCGCACAGCTCGTCCCCTCCCCCAGGCAGCCCAGCTGTGAAGCCGGGTTTCCCATGGTGGACGGGGCACAGTGCAGCCTGCGGGGGAGGGCTGGGGAACTCACGGTGGGGTCAGAGGAGCCACATGGCCCGTCCAGCACTCACCACCCTGCACACAAGGCCAGCACTGGGATCAACTCTGTGGACTTAGCATATGAGGGTCACCTCTGGTGGCCCTGGCCCTAGCAGGCTCGGGCTTGCTGTCCCCACCCTTGGGAACTGCATGGCCGGAACGGCTGGGAGCCCCTGGAGCTGCTGCCACCTTTGCCCACCTGCACTGCCCGGCCTCCCGCTTTGCAGGGCTCAGCAGCTCCAGCGACGGTCCATCCGGTCTAGCCGGTCCACCCCCGCACTCTCCTATCAACCTTGTCTCCCGCCAGCCACCTGTTTCCAGGAAATGGTCCCCCAGCCTCAACCCGGAGGCTGGAGCTTCTCATCCCTCCCCCTCGGTTCCCTACACAGTAGAGGGGCAGGGGGCTCTCACTCCCCACCCACGCCCCATCAGGCTCCCTCAAACTGCTGTAGGGCTGGGGAGGGGCAAGGGGTGCCACGCCTGCCCTGAGGGTGACCTGGTGGGCGTAGGAAATGAGGGGTAGTACATGCACCTTAGGGAGCCCCTCCGGCTAGATCGGTGAACGAGGGGCTGCAGAACCACCCCTGGATTCTATCACTTCCTCCTCCACAGCCAAGAAGACCCCTCCTCAGTCAGACCCTGAGACCCCTGGGCTGCATCCCATCCCACCTCCACGTGGTCCTCACTGGCCTCTCCCTCCTCCTTCAGCCGCCTCAGCCCTGGGCACCCCCACTCAAGGCTTCCCAACAGCCCAGACTGGCTGGTTCTTGCTTCCAGCAACCATACGCCTTGGCCATACCCTCCCCCGCCTGGCCTGGAAGGAACCACCCCCTGCTCCAGCCTGGAAGCCTCTTTTCCCAGGCCTGCTGGACAAGGCGTGACTCCCCACAGAGGGAATCTGCGGTTTCTAACCTGCCGTTTGCTCAGGGGTCAGGTGGGCAGCTGCGTGGGCCCGTTCATTCATTCATTCATTCATTCATCTGTTGATTCCTCTGTCCAACATTGGCTTCCACCAAGGAGTGGACGCTGTGTCCAGTAGACAAGCCTAGGACCTTCCCGCGTCCACTGCCATGCTGGGCCCCAGACCCTCCCAGGAGCCCGCCCTTCCTGGACCGGGTATGCCCCAAGGTCTGGCCTGTAAGGGAAGGGGATCCCAGTCTTTGGGGGGGCATGGACAGGGCCCCCAGCTCCTGAGAGCAGAGTGCCCTGGGGTCCCCCTGCCCTGCCCACCATGACGCTGGGGCAGCCACGATCATCTTGTTCACAGCCTTGCTGCTGCCCTTGCCCTCAGAATTTCCATCGGAAAATATTGGGTGGAGTGGGCAGGCAGGCAGGCTGGGGCAGGCGTGCAGACGCTGTGGGTGGGTGGGTGGCGGGTGCCTCTCCCTCGCCCCTCCCTTGCTCCAGCATGGCCCACCCTGCCCTTCCTGCTCTGTTCTCAGCCCCCACCCCATTGTGGGGTGTGGGCCCCGAGGGGAGCCTCAGGGGGCTGGTAGGGGCGTGTTCCAGGACAGGTCTGCCTCCTCGCACGCAGACAGCCCCTGGTGCCCACCTCTCAGCGCCCAGGGAGTTTCCTGACCAGCGGCCCCATGTGGCCTCTGGGCTCTGCCCTGGGGCTGGGCAGCACCCCCGCCTCTCTCTCCTCCTCCTCTGGCCTCCCCCAGGGAGGGGGACTAGTGCCCCTGGCTCCTGACACCGGCTCTGTGTGTTCACCTCCCCGCCCAAGACAGGGCTGGATCAGACTTCTGTTTGAACCTCCACTGGGCTAGCCAAGGGCCTGGGGCTGAGGAACAGGAGGCCAGGGGGCCTGGGAAGTCCTGGTCAGGGTCCTGGGCCCAGCTGGGCTCCCCCTGGACAGGGACAGTAACACCCGCCCAGGACCCGGAGATGTCCTCGCCCTCCAGGGCAGCTTGAGCGGCCACGTGGCCCTCTTTCCACACTGAGGCTCCCCCATCACAGCAGCTGAGTGATGTGGACCATCAGGAGGGAGAGGAGACAGGCAGAGGCTCTGCCCCCAGGCTGCCCCACGCCCCTGCTCCTTCCCACAGCCGAAGTTGGTTTGCTGGAGCCCACAGCCATGTGAGCGATAACCCCCAGGGCTCATCCTCAGTGCCACTGTTGGGCCTTTACCCAGGCCATGTCCCCTCCCAAGACCTCCCTTCTCAGTGTCCTCTCCTTGCACATTCAAGCCGATGCCCCCTGGGTACCCCTTCCGAGACCCCACCTGACCTAGTGGCCCCACCCAGGACCCCTCTCTCACCTCTGCCTGGGCTAAGCACAGGTCCAGCCCTGCCTGCACCAGCTCTCACACTTTGGTGGTAGGGGCCCAGGATGGGCGGGGTTGGGGGGGGGGTCCATGCCCATGCCCACGCATGCGCACACACATGTGAGGGCCCACGCTGTGTCAGAGGTTGAACCGGAGGGTAAACGCTGACTGAACCAGACTGGGCCCTCAGGGGAGAAAGCACTCAGAACCAGGTCTGCGGACGCAGCCCAAATGGGTCCCACCGAGCCCCACGGCGGTGACTCCCGGCCCTCTTCCGGGTGAATCTAACACATGAACATGTTGTGGCGTGTCTGATGGTGGCAATGGGCCCAAGTGGGGCCAGGGTGGCCCCTGGCAGCCTGCCTGGCTGGAGCCGGTATGGACAAGCTAGCTTCAACGAGGTAGCATGTACCGAGGTGGCCTGGAGCCGGGAGCAGTGCCAAGGCTGGGAGTGGGGCAAGCCGGCCTGGGTGAGGAAGCTAAGATGGCCCAGGAGCAGTCAGGGAGGAGCCCAGGGCACAGGACCCCTGCTTCCACCAGGCCTGGGCTGAGGCTGGGAGACCAGGGCCCAAGGGCACAGCAGCCGCAGTGCCTGAGGCTTTTCCCACTGGGGGGGGGGGGGCCTCCAAGGCCCTGGAGGAAAGAGCTGGCATGGTGGGGGAGGGTGGGGCAGGCAGGTGGCAGAGATCCATTTGCCACCTTCCTGATTGGCAGGAGGTGCCTGCGAAATAAGAAAAGGCTCTTCTCTGCAAGATGCAAAGATTTCCTAGGAGAAGGCACGGCAGAGTGAGAGTTGGTCACTTACCAGTGCATGTGTCTTTGTGATAGACAAGCCCAGACAGTCTGGGGGGACCTGAGACCCGAGGGCCTGCACCCCTACCCCACGAGGGCCCCCATCTCAGAGCTGGAGAAGAAGCAGTCACGTGGCAGGTCCTGCAGAGGCCCCTGCGGCCCCACGGAGGGAAGGGCTCCATCCGTCAGTCACCAGAAACCCAGCTCAAACCGGCTTAAAAAAGAGAGACTGTTGACTGGAAATTACCGGGAAGCTGAGAGAGGGGCTTGGCTGATGCAGGGCGGGGATGGTGTCCCCAGGGCCCGTGCACTGCCTGTCCCCTGCTGCTCCACTCTCAGTCTCAGCCTGCGTGTCCTGGCAGCTCCAGGCGCACCAGGCTCAACACCACAGGCCCAGCGGGAAGAAAGGAAACCTCTCGCTTCTCTCCCGGAAGACCAGGGAAGGGTCTCGTGGGCCTGTTGGTACAGAGGACACCTGCCCCTCCCTGCACTGACCGTGCCCAGGCAGAGGGGTGGCCCGAGGGGCAGCCAGCACACGTTTCCCGTCCACCCCTGGCTGCCCAATGTCCACACGCCTTTCTCCCCCCACACACACTTAAAGTGCATGGCACGCAAAAGCCGCCCCACCTCGTGCTCAGGCCCCTCTGGAAGATGACCACATGACATCTCAGCGAGTAACACAATCTCACTCCCAAAGTCGCGTACCCGGGTGCTCCCCTCGGCCACTGGGTGACCCATTTGTCCACTCCAGTATGCAGGGTGGGGAGGGACTGTGTGGGTTACACTGCAGTCCCTGTGAAGGGGACCAGGGCAGAAGAACCCAGGGCCAGGGGCCACAGTGCCTCTCACATCCGGCTGGACAGAAGTAGCCATGACTCCTGTCATCTGGGAGAGCCGGTGCCTTGCTGGGAGCATCCCCTTGACCTGCCATCATGGGGACAAAACACCCCCCTGTGAGCAGCATCTCAAAGACAGACCACTTCAGCAAGTGGCTTAGGGGTTACCCAGGGGAAAAACAGCTTCCAGAATCTCTCTGTGGCCTCAGGCCTCCCTGCCAATACCATGCCAGTCCTCGTGGGAGCTGTGTAGCATCAGTCTATTTTCGACCCATCCTTCCAGGGCTGCGACCAGAGTCACGACTTTCTCTGACTGTCCACCCAGCCCGGCCCGTGACCCAGCCCAGAATGACTTGAAACAAATGCAGGGGTGGGAGGCACAGTCACTTGCCCCTCGTCCAGGCCAAGTTTATCACCAACTTCCCCGAGCGGGGGATTGCTTCCCTGCCCTCCCTCCGGCCCGCTCTGTCTCAGGCCACGGCTAGTAAACCCCGTGCCTTGTGGCAATTTCTCAACCGTTTGGGATTGCTGGGATTCCTCATGACAGAAAATTTCACAGAAAGTGGTTTAGGCAAAAAAGGGAATTTGTTTGCTTGCATTGTGAGAAGCCCGGGGGAAGTATGCCTTCAGGAACAGCTTAGTCCGGGGGATCAAACAGAGTCACGCTGCTTCTTTGGCTTCTTTTCTTCTCCATTTCTTGGCTATATTTCCTGCCGTTTGGCTGCATTCTCGGGTTATATGTGGCATAGTGGCAGCCCTAGGCTCCCACCATCACAGTAGGAGAAAAGAAGCCCACGTACCTCTCTCCCACCAGTTCTAGAAAAATCACATTGGCTCTCATTTGGTCACGTGCTGGTGTGGGTCGAACTGCATCCCTCAGAAAGATAGGTTGGAATCCTCGCCCAGTACCTGTGAACGTGACCTTACTTGGAAATAGAGTTTTGCGGATGATATAATTGAGTAAAGATGAGGTCATTAGGGTGGGCCCTGATCCAGCGTGAGTGGTGTCCATCTAGGAGAGCCGTGTGAACGCGCCGCGTGAGGCAGAGACACGCGAGGGGAGAAGGCGGATCGATGACAGAGGCGGAGATTGGAGTGACACATTCACAGGCCGAGGGATGCCAAGGATTGGCAGCAAACCACCAGACGCTGGAAGAGGCAGAAAGGAGTCAGCCTAATGGCTCAGAGGGAGCCTGGCCCTGTCGATACCTTGATTTCAGACTTCTGGCCTCAGGAACTGAGGGACAATAAATTCCTGTGTCTTTGAGCTGCCCCATTCACGGCCCTTTGTTCCAGTAGCCCCAGGAGACTGACGCACCTGCGCATCCATGAACTGATCGGGTGGCCTAGTTTAAGTCCCGCTGTCCTCCCTGGAGCTGGGGGTGGAGTCCCTGGAGCTGGGGGTGGAGTCAGCACCACCTGACGCCTGTGGCCTGAAGGTGGGGAGGGAGTGGCTCCAAGAGAATAACTCGGGTTCACTCACCAGGAAGAGGGTGGGAGCCTATTGATGGCGCAGAAAGGCAAACAGCCGAAAGTTGGACCTGGGCCACAGCCTGGGGAGCAGGAGGAGGAGCAGCGACCCCTGGGAAGGGGCGAGTGCATCTCACTGACGCCAGAGAGTGAGATTGAGGGGACTCCAATGCCAGGTGCCTTCCCGGCCCTCCCTGTACATAGCGTGCCTGAGCAGTCAAAACTTTAGACAACTCCCCTGGGAGAGGGGGAGCCAGCTGGCTGAGCCCCAGTCTACGGGACAGGGGCTCAAGTAGGAGTTAGCCGAGGTTACAAAACCAGCAGTCACACTTCTTACACACCTGTGTCTGTGGTCTGAGGTTCTGAGGTTGTGTGACTAAAGTTACAAAATCTGAGAGGCTTCCTGGGGCTTCAGAGAGCAGAGGGGACACTAGAGAGAATTCTCGAGTCCTAATCCAGGTCTGGGAAAATCTGACAGCAAATGCAGCAGATGCAAAGATGCCCGGGCCCCTCCACATGATTGAGTCCACGGGAGCTTCCTGTGGCCCTGGGTTCAGACCGCAGTCTTTGCCGGCCTTCTGCGGGCCTGAGACCGCTCCACTTCCCTCTCCCGCCACGCTCTCTGAACTCCGTCCCCACTGGCCTGCACTTCCAAATGGCCTTGGTACACGCTGTTCCTCGTGTCTGGAGTGCTTCCCCGCTCACCTTTGTCCACCTGTCTCCACCCTTGGGACTGGGAGGTGTCTGGACAGAGCATCCACAGTGTCACCTGGTCCCATGATCTGACATCCTCACAACAGGGGAGCGATGCGATGCTCTGCGGACTGTCAGATCATGGCATCCTGTGGCCGTGCTGGGACAGCAGGCAGGAGAGTAAACTGCCCTGTGGCGAGACATCGTGTGCGGTGTTATCCATCCCAAGAAAATGCAAAGCGCTGTGGTCCTCTTTCCTGATGGGTACAGAAGAGAATGCATTCCCTGGGCTCATGGAGAGATTTACCCACATGGATCCTGCATAAGATCATCTCAAACCAAGGGGCCCGCTTTAGGGCAACGGAGGCACCACATGGCACGTGACATGAGATCCAGGGTCAGTCTCCATGTGGCAACAGCCAGCAGCTGCCAGGCCTCAGATGGTTGGCGGGCTCTTAGCGTCACAGCTGAGGCAGCTCAGTAGTCCCACCTAGTGGAGCTGGGCGCTGTTCTCAGAGATGGTGTAGATCTCGAACCCGTAACCACAATATATCCAGGTGGGCCGTGTGGGTCTGGGCATGAAGGGCGGGGGCCCTCCTGGGGAATGAGTGCTTCCCTCTGCTCTTTAGGCTCTGGAGGTCCAGAGGCCCTGGCCCCAGAGAGGGTTTGCTTCCAGACACAGTTAGTGTTTCACTGAAGCTAAAGCCACCAGACACCACCTGGTTATTCTGGGTTCCACCTGCCGATAGACCAGAAGGAGAGGAAGGGCATGGCCCTCTGTCACGAGTGGCTGACCCCGAGCTCATGAAGGGGTGGGGCTGCGGCTGCCCAGTGGGGGCCGAGGGGTGTGTTTGGAGTTCAGAGGGTCCATTTGGACGTAATTGGCGATCCAGGCCCAGCTTTACCCTTTCACGAGAAGGACAGCCACCACCCACACCCCCAGGCCTGGCACGGGTGTGGCAGCAGGGGGCTCAGTCCCCTCAGGGGTCCAGGTGAACCACTGGGCAGGCCACTAGGCCAGCGCTGAGAAAACAGGAATGTGGAATGGAGGACATGGGTATCCATTATGGCAGCAGGGACCGTGGCGCATCCTACGAACTCTCCTCTTGTGAGTCTTTATTTTTCTAGAAATCATGGCGGCCACATTTCTGAGGGGTCTGTGGGTGAACTTAATGTGGGGAGGGAGTGGACCTGAGTGGTGCAAGGAGTGGACTGTCACAGGCGCTGACAGTGTCCCGCCACAGCCCTCGGCCCTCACCTCTTCGTGCAGGTGGACTCCTGGTGGGCACTTGTGCCCGCAGCCACACCTGCACGCCTGGCATTGGAGCCTGGCCCTCAGGCTCTGGGAAGCTGCTTGGCCTGTGAACACAGAAACTCTGTAAACGTGAGTCCCTGGTGCAGCCCGTCAGGGAAGATGGAGAGTGCAAGGGTCTAGCAGTCCTGCCCCCAAGCCCTTGACCAAGACCCTTGGGGGATGACCCCGCTGTTTCCCAAGTTCCCCCAGCGACCTCACTGGACAGCGCCCCTCCAGGCTCCTCTCTCCCCCTCCCCGTCCCTCTTCTTCACTCCCCATGGGCTTTTCTGGTTTCACTTCTCGATAAATTGCTTTTGCCCAGATCCTTGCCTTGGGGTCTATTTCCAGGAGCCCAGCCCAGGGCCCAGCACTCCTCCCCACACTGGACACTCACGGGCCACCACGTGCTCCTGCAGTTCTCAGGGAGGACAGAGCACTTTGGTTAAAGTCTGCCTCCCTCGCTTCAAAAGCTCCATCAGAACAGGAGTCCCGTCCAGAGGAGTCACCACTGTCTCCCCAGAACCCATCCTGGTGCCAGGCACACAGTGGGTGCACAATTAGTGCTGAATTAATCGACAACTCTGATCAGGCGTGGATGCACCTGTGCAAATGACCTGAACCGGCTTCCACTGGGTTAACGGGCAGATGCGCATCTGGGGACATAGATTGCACGTTGCCCGCTTGGCGCCAGGCCCCTCCCCTGGCTCTCCCACTGTGGACGAGGGAACCCGCCAGCTCCCGTCTGCCCTGCCTGGACTCGCTCTCAGACCCTGGTTCAGGCTTGGCCGGTCAGCGACTCTCCCGGACCCTGGATCTTGAGGGCGTGGTCCAGGGTGAGCAGACACATGAGGCTGCAGCAGAGGGTCCCACCGCCACCGCTACCTCTCACCTCTTGGGGCCACCTCTGGTCCCCAGCTCCCTGGGTTTGTTCCCCAGCCCCTACAATTCAGTGGGCCTCCCGTTATCCTTCCAACAAATGATCATTTTGCTCAAGTTTTGCTGCTTATACCCAGGGCCCCAAATGGCTTCTGGAGGAGCAGCAGACAATTGGCCATCCTGAGCAGCGCAGCCTCAGGGCTGACACGGGGTGCAGGGCCATGGGGCCCCTCACTCCTGGGGGAAGACCACCTACCTCCCAGGGCCCAGGGCAAGTCGGCTAGTTAGGGTTGTCCTGAGCACTGGGGCTTCCATGATGACGAACCACATCTCCCCTCCTCTTGAGTTGGAAGCTAATGAGGAAATAAGACCCAGGCACAGAGAGGTGGAGGCCAAAACATCAGCAGCCCTGCCACACGGCGGTTGACGAGGCTTCCATCCACTCAGACGGTGGCCCTGAGCCCCGCGCCCCATCAGAGGTGGCTGGAGGGCCTCAGCACCGCTCCTCTTCCCCTGTGCTGGAAGGGAAGGACATGTGTATCCAGAGGACGCCCGGGCTGGTCTCCCCAACCCGCCGTGGACTGCCCCCCTCCCCAAGGTGGGCGCTGAGTGAGCAGGGAAGGGAAAGCTCACCTGTCAGCAGGCTGAGCAATGGCTGGCACGAGGCATTTGGAGACCGTGGGCTGGAGCAGCTTCTGTGGCACCGGACAGACCTAACGAGGCCTTTCCCCGACACCCCTCCGCATTGCCAGCCTGATGCTACCACCCACGGGTGCCCCCTTGCCTTAGGAGGGCACTTCCAAAGCCTGGCGCCCACACGCCATCCCTTACCATCCACCAGACCTCACCCCGGGGGCCGAGAGCCACGAGCCACGTCAGACTCGGGGAAACTGAGCCAGAGTCCACACCCAAGTGACTTTTCAAAGGAATGTGAGCAAAAGTCTGGATTGCGTGTGAGGATGGGCTTGGGTGCTTGAGCAAGTGTGGGCCGGCTGGGAGCGCCAGTGTGAGCACATGGACCCGACATTCTGGACTCGAGGTGTGTGCTCCAGCAGCTGGGAGTGCATCTGGGGTGGGCTAAGGTGACCCCGGTGCGGCTGAGGGACGGTGGGCTCCCAAGGACCCTACTGTGATGCACCACGCTGCCCGTCCGGGACCGAGGCCCTTGTGTGAGGGGCCTCCACACCCCAGCACCACCTCTGCAAGGCTCCCCCCTCAATGCTGTTGGAGGGCGGGCTGCTTGCTCTGGGGCACGGTGCTGTATCGGGCTCTTTCGTGGTCCCTGCAGGGGGCAGACGGGGCACTCAGAAGTGGCCGCAGCCAGCGAGCCTCGAGGCGGGGAGTTGCTGCTGTCGAGCCCATGTAGGGCCTCTGTCCCTACCACCATGGCGCCCTTGTTCCTGACCCCACTGAGCAGGCCCTGGGGGACTTGGAGCTTCCTTGGTGTCGGGGGCCCTCCACGCCCCTGCCTCCACTCCAGCGCATGCCCCTTGTGCCCCTCCTAGGCCCCTGCTCCCCAGTCCTGCTCTCGCCACATCTCTGACCATCTGCCTCCACACACCAGCTGCTGTTCCACGGAGTTTCTTCAGGGGCCGTGAGAGGCCAGACATATGGCTTCAAATTCTCCGCCCACAGAGGCTCTCCCCTCTCTCCCTTCCCTCTCACCCCTGGTGGGACCGTGGGCTGTCTTCCCAGCTGGGGCCACGGCATCGGGCAGAGTTATCCATAGTCTATCCCCCCAACTCCATCACCAGGGGGCAGGTGTGTGCACCTGAGGCTAAGGGTGCAGGTGAGGAAGGGATGGCAGAAGGCATGCGTACAGCGAGGTGCCTGGGCCACCTGCTCCTGCCAATGGGCTTGCTGTTTGCCACCTGCTCGCCCGATGTGCTGTCTTCTCTGGACAGTGGAGCTCGGCTGCACACGCCCAACTTTACAGCCAGTGAATCGATAACTCCCAGTTTATGATGGGCAGTTCAGGGCACCTGGTCCCCGGCTTCCCTAGTCACATGGTTCATCCCTGCCAGGGCCCAGAAGGCCTCGGGTCGTCCTCAAAGGGGACCAGTCACTTTCAGGAGAGGGCATGGCTCAGAGTCTGTCCTGAGATACTCCTTTCGGGATGCAGCACAGGCCCCAAGGACGTCTCTCTTTCCAGGGACACTGTACACTGTCAAAGTGACTATGTCCTGAGACAGAGTAGCTTCCCCTGAACCTGGACCAGCTGCAGAGCCTGCTCAAGGGTCAGCCTGAGAGGCTCTCAGAGAGTGATGACAGCTTCCAAAGAAACTCACCAAGTTCATGCCTCCTAGATTTGGCTGCTAGTAACAGTGCTTTCCATATAGTGGGGGTTCATCCTCTCTCCTAAGATGAGTCCACAGGGGCCATTTGAGGCTGGCACATTCTGCCATTCTTAGACTCAGCTTTAATCCTCATGGTCAGAAGGAGGCTGCTGGGGCTCCAGCTGTCACATCTACACAAGAAGAAGGAAAAGGCCAAGGGGCAAAAAGAGAACTCCCTCCAGCTGTGGCTCTCTCAAGGTGTGATATGCCCATGAAGGGCAACTTAGCAGTATCAACCAAAACCACAAGTGCATTCAGCTGTGATCCTAGTCAGATCTGGAGATTTCCCCGCAGACACACCTATGCTCTTAAGCAAAGATTTTATGCCACGTTATTCACTGCCCCTGACTGGCAAGGGCAGGAGATGAGATCATCAAGGGCCGGTTAAGAAGCCAGAGTTCATCCACACCACCAAATACCAGGCAGTTGTCAAAGAGGAAGGGCAATGCTCCCTGCACGCTGTGGAGCACTCTCTGGGCTGTAGGACCTAAAAGCAAGCGGGGGGTCGGGGGCGGGGGAGTGGAGCAGAACTGCCTTACGTTATGCTACTTTTTATGTAGGAAATGGAGTATTTAGTTTCCTGTGGCTGCTGTAAAAAACTACCACAAACTTGGTGCCTAAAATGACAGAAATCTATTCTCTCACAGTCCTAGAGGCCACGAGTCTGACTCGGGGCGTGGGCAGGGCCGTGCTGCCTGTGGAGGCCCCAGGGGAGGATCCTTCCTGCCTCTTCCAGCTTCCACGGCTCCAGACATCCTTTGGCTTGCAGCTGCATCTCTCTAGTCTCTGCCTCTGGTCTCGTCTCTAGATCCTTAATTTACTTTCACCGGCAAAGACCCTTTTCCCCAGTTAAGCCACATCACAGGTACCAGGGGTTAGGATGCAGACATATCATTTTGGGGGCCATCATTCCGCCCACTATGAGGAGGAAATACATATTTGTATTTGCATTAAGAAAGCCCAAAAGGACACATAAACGTGCTCTTCCTTAGGGCCGAGCCCAAGTTCACTGAGGCGGCCGGGAGCGTGGGTGCCGAGGGAGCACACGGAAGAGCCCGGGACGACTCTTCCGTGGTCATCTGTGGGACTCTGCTCCACTCCCACATGCCCGTGTCTCCCCAAGGCATCCAGGAGCTAATCCTGAGCGGGGAGCGGGAGGCATCCTGGTGTCCCAGGCAGATTAAAGGCAACGGCTCCCGGCATCTTCTGTGTATGGGAGGGGAGGGAAGCGTCCTCTGGCCTGGGGCTGTGTGGCAGCGTGGACAGGGAGCGTTCCTGGTGCGCATGTGATCGGGCTCTGACGGGCTCTAGTCACTCCACGGCCATTGCGTCTTGTGTACTTGCTGCGCTGAAGGACTAAAGGGGGTTGTCACAGGAACCTGCCGGCCCCACACAGCTCAGGTCAGTGGCAGTGTCACTGACGTCATTATACCCACTCTGGGACTGAAGCCATAACCCCATCTGGTCCATGGTCCCAATGGACCCATTGTATGAAGGATCAGGGCAAAACTCCTTTTGTCACCTGTTGGTGACAACGGGTCGAACTGTGTCCCCAGAAAGATCTGTATGAGTCCTAACCTCCGAATCCGACCGTGTTTGGAAATAGGGTTGCTGCAGATGTAATTAGCTGAGATGAGGTCACACTGGAGTGGGGCCCCTAATCCAATAGGACAGGTGTCCTTGTAAGAAGACAGAGACACACGGGGCGAAAGCTGTGTGACCACAGAGGCAGAGACTGGAGTGATGCGGCCACGAGCCAAGGGACGCCAAGGATGGCTGGTGCCACCAGAACCAGGAGGGAGGCCTGGAACCGTCGCCCTCAGAGCCTCCGGAAGGAACCAGCCCTGCCCACACCCTGACCTCGGACTTCTGCCTCCAGAACCGTGAGTGAAGGTTTCTGTTGTTTAAGCCTCCCTGTTTGGTGTCCCTTGTTCCAGCAGCCCCAGGGGACTGAAGCACCGCCTGGTCCCGTTAGCCTCCCCTGCCCAGTGACCACATGAAGCGCTGAGTCCCACGTCAGCATCACTTTGTCCCGGGCCCTTAGAGTGAGTGGGCAGAGGACTTAGAGAACAGACATCCTTGGGGCGTCCTTCGTCAGGGAGACCCAGCACCCCTTAACTAACTCCAGGGGCCCAGATCTACGAGTGGGCAGGGCCTGGGGTCAGGGGCCTGGCCGGGGTGCTGCTGCCAGTCATTGGTTCTTATGCAAATCAAGTGAGACCGCGATCCGCCCATCTATTTTGGTTCTGGGGCCTTATGGCTGATGAACCAACCACGGGGACCCTGTAGGGCGCTGTGGTCTCTGAGACCCCCTTATCTCTGGCAGTTGGGGTCCTGTCATCGCCAATCAGTCAGAGAGCAGGGTAGGCAGGGCAGTGGTAAGGGGGGTGGGCTGGGCATGACAAACCCGTCCTAAGTCCCACCATCTTTGCACCCCCTCTCCACCCTGCAAAGCCCCAAGAGAACAGGCTCTGGGCCCTTCCAGCCAGCCCAACCTAAACTACCCGCCTCCCCCCACAACACATGCACTCCACAGAGCAGGGGCTGCTCACATGTCAGCAAACTTCCCATCCAAAGGGGACTGCTGATCCCTCCTCCCTCAAAATCAACCCTGGAGAAACTCCTAAAGCAAGAAAGGAACATGGATTCCAGAAACCACCTCATGAAAACGCCCAGAAGCTGTGTGTGTTTGTGTGTGTGTGCATGTGTGGTGCTGCAGCCCGGGCAGGAAGGGGCCAGAGAGAGGACAGTGGGCGACAGGCTACCCGGGCTAGCCCTCCCTGCTGCTGGCCTGGCCTCTCCGCTGCCCTGTCCTGGCGGCTTTGAGTAAAGTCCCGACCCCACACACACCCACCTAGGTGAGCAGATGCGACAACAGGTGCAGACTGACCGGTAGCCCTCAGCCCCTCCTTGGCCATCCCTCGCCCTCCAAATCTGGGGACCGCCTCCCCAGATGTGCTTCTCTCTGAGCGTGCAACTGGGCAGGAGTGACAGGGGTGACACACCATTCCCTGGGGTACACCCCCTCCTCCCAACTTAAACCTACCAGGACAGGCATTGTCAGGCCACAGTGCTTCCTCTGCACATGGCCAGGCAGCGGGAGGACTCAAGGGTGCCAGCCAGATAACCTGCTACCCAAGGAGCAGAACCACTGCCCACAAAGGACGGCTGAGCCACACTGAAGCCACTACAGAACTACCAAGACAGAGGTACCAAGACATCAAAGGAAATAACCTTGGGAAAAAACAAAGCAAGTTACCAGGAACATGAGGCAAGAGCAAGAGCTCATTTGAGGAAAAGAACCAAAGGCAACTATTCTGTAAGAAAGCCACAACGGCTGGAATCCACGAGGCAGGGAGAGGCAGGACACGAGGAGCCAGGGACGCACCGTGAGCCTGGCGATCAGACCAAGGCCTCGCTGCTGGCAGCTGGGCAGGAAAAGGAGACAGAGAATATGAAGGAAACCTGAGTGCTGTGCAGCTGGAGGAGGGCATGCCCACAGCCAGGTGTGAGCAAACAAACCCGAGAGAGTGGAGACGCCATGGATCTCCACGGATCCATGTCTCCTAGGATCAAAGAGAAAGGAAAGATCTCGGACAGAAAGGGCTCAGGGAGGATTACAGGAGAGACATAAGGAAAACCCGGCCCTGACACGGGGGCAGATTGAACAGCATCAAAGACAAGAGGAGGCGTCTAAAAACATTTGGAGAGAAAGAGAGAATCTCCTAAAAGGGGACACAGTCAAGGTGTCGGATTTCTCAGCAGCTACACAGGACGCAAGACAATGGCGTGTTGTTCAAAAGCACTGACGGGAGAGAACTTTGGACCTTTGCTTTTCATAGCCAGCCATTCAATACCATCCAAATGTGGTCGTAACAGTAATGAGGTTCTCAGATCTCCGAGTCCTCCAGTGGGAGAGCACTCTGGAGGTGAGAGGAAGGAGAAAATGAGGAAAGAAACAAATGGAGAGACGCTGCCAGGGACCGGGGAGCAGGGTCACAAGCACAGGCCTGAAGGAAAGGACTGGAGCAAGTCGGGCCAGAAGAAACAAGCCTCCCTCCACTGCTCCCGAGGATAAACGCGGGGGGAGCCCAGGGCCGCCCTCGGAGGAGACGCACGGACTGAGGAGGAAAAAGGAGGAGGAGGAAGTGAGGGAGGGTGTGAATCTTGAGAGCAGCCAAGATAAGAACGAAAATACAACACATTTCTTTTAAAATCAGCAAGAGAAAATTTGATTTATGCAATGAGAAGCAGAAAAGGGAAAAAAAACAAATTGCAGCAAATAGAATGTATGGAATAAGACGGCAGAAATCAATCCAAATGTAACAGTCAACACATGATGTGAATGAGTTCAACTCGCCAGTTAAAAGATTCTTAGATGGGATTTGAAAAAAGAACAAACAAGAGCTAACAATGTGTTGTCCGCAAGGGACAATCTTAAAACAAAAAGCCATATGAACCGACAGAAAGTGATCCTGATCTCTGATCGAATAGAGTGATAGGACCCTAGGCTCTTAGGCTCTGTGTGTCCCAGAAACTGACGAGAGGCCCAACAAAGTCCCAGACAAGGTTTCACTGGGGGTCACGCTGAGCACGGGGAGACGGCACAGGAGGAGGGGCTCTCGGGCTGGTTCCCTGAAGGGAGTGTCCTGAGTCTTTTATGGGGTCAGGGAGCAGACTGGCATCAGGATGCTCCTCCTCCGGAGGCGTTCTGCTTCCCTCTTCCTGGTGGAGCCGGCTTCGCCTGCCCCATCAGGGTTGTCGTCCCTGTGCCCACCCAGTAGGTTGAACAGGGCGGGGTTGCTCACTACCGCCACCCCAGGAAGGCCGTGTAGAGGTCATTGCGAGGCTTTGCGCGCATGTCCGAGTCGGGTGGACAGCTTGGGGGAAGTTTGGTGGTTGGAAGGTTGCTTATCTTGACTTCAGAGAGAGTTGAGCTGGGAGCTGCTGGATCTGGTGGCTGAGAGTGAGGGGCAGAGTCCCGTCCCTGTTCTGTCTCAGTCCCCTCTGAGAGATTATACCCTCCTCATTCTTAAGGGAATGGGAACCAGTGGTCTCGTAGTCAGCAGCTACTTCCAGCTGAGCAGTGGCGCTGACCCTAGATCCCAGAGGAGTAAAAATCTCTTGCTGACTGTTCTAAGGACCTATAGGGACTCTGCTGTTCCTGTAACCGGAAAGGCTGGAATCCCCGTGCCACTATCAGTTTGACATGAAAACTGCTGGAGCCTGACTTTATCAATGGAGTAAAGAGAATGGACTGGAAAGCAACAGGAGCAGGTTAGCCATTAAGGGCCCTAAGAAAGGAAGGAACCACGCGAGGCCAGGGAGGGCACCCTTGACCAGTGACCAAAGTCGGGTAGGGTCTGCCCCCTGGTCATACTGATGTAACTGGGATGCTTGTTCATAGTTCTCCCATATGTTGGTCTCGACCTTCCTTGAGTTATTAACGTAAGTACAGCAGGTTTTGTTAATTACTGTGCAAATGCCCCTTTGTTCAGCGAGAAGATAATCTAAAGCCAGTCTATTATCCATTACATTTGTCAAGGAGTCTAGAGAAGCCTGGAGGTTTTGTAGAGCTTGTCCTGTGATGGCAGCCAATTTTTTAAGGGCCTGTGTGAGATTTCTTAGAGTTGCCTCATGGTGTGCAAAGCCACCCCAGGGAGCCCCCAAGCCTATAGCAGCTCCAATTTCTGCCAGGATTAACCCAACCACCCTCTTGGATCTTGGCCTGGAGGTAATGTTGTGGACAGTCATACCTGCTCCCTGAGGACCCAGTCGGCCTATGGTGCATTGCCCCTTAAATTGACAATGACAGGCCAAGACCTGAATTGGAAACAAGAAGGTGGAGCTGGGGGTTGCCTTCATGGGACAATATATTTTGCCAGGGGCCACAAAGGAACATATATGCAGGGGAGCACAGGCCTGGCATGGTGCTGAGGAGTTAAACGAGGTATTTAACAGGGAGCATTTCTGGAGAAAGAGAAAGGAAAACAAGGTTAATGGTTGGAGCAAATTATAGACTAGTTTCTGAGCCCAGGGAGCAGCCAGTCAAAGGATTTCTAGATGTCACAGTCAAAGCATCTTTTGCTGTTTGAAATGTCTCTAATGATGTCATCAGGTGTTCAGGGATCTTTCTGAGTGGCTTACACAGAAACAGATAAGAATCTCTCTTAAGTTTATATCAAGTTGTCCAGCTTCTGTTTTCGGGGCTTCAGGGAAAAGAGCAGGTTCAGTTCTCAATGAATGCAAGAGAAAATGATGGAAAAAATTGAAAATGTTAGTTTGGAGATTTGTAGCCAGATATTTCAGGAGACTAGAAGAATTTAGGATGCAGCCCAATTAACAGATATAAAACAAAACCTCAGAGACAATTATCAGAACTAGAATCTAATATCCACAAATGTATACTATAGTTTCTATTGAAATGTAATTTTTCTCTCTAAAATCACCCTCATTTTTACCAAACATAGCCAAATTAGGACTAATTAGTTGGCAAAATTAGTCTAGTTTCAATAAAATTGGCCAATTATTTACATAAATAGCAATTGATCATATAGGCTCTTTTAAATCTGCTTTGCTGGAACTTTTCATAAGGAATCTCAGATTGGACTTTAAAGTCCTCTTGAGGCCAGGAAAGCCAAGCCAAGGA